CTTATCTTGGTTCAATAGAATCGAGTGCAACAAGAGTTTCTGGTCATAACTTGTTCAAGTGAAGCGTATCTGTAGGTCCGGAGGAAAAAGCGAAACTTTCCGAGTGTGCTCAGTGGCAATGTATTTGAGACCGGCCCCCAACGATTTTGTAGCCCGTTTGGCAAGCTGGATAAAGATTAAGTACCTGCTGAATCCTGGGTGTATTTCCTAGCCGATGTTTGCAATGGTCTGTCTGACTAAGGCTGCGCATTGTCCGCAGACCGAATCTTTCGAAAAGTAACGGCCATCTTTTGAGCCCATTTTTCTAGATGACATGAGAAGGATGTTGCTGATGACGGCCAGCTACCAAGATGGCTTTTCAAATTGTCCCCCTACATCGCCAATTTACATAAGAAAAGTGTTGCCCAGTTCCCGGTAGGTAAGAAATGAATGTACATTTTAGTGTTTATAGACCTCCACTCCGTTAAAAATTGTTTTGCAGCACTTATGTCCATTTGAGATGTGCTTATTTCAGAACCCAAGTGCTTCATGGCATCCCGAGAACCTGGACATGGGTTTAAAAACGCCCCGGGATGGTGGCTGGCGTAGATGTAAAGTAACGGTGGTCCCAGATGGCAGCTGTGAGGAAATTTAATCAGGACCAGCACAAGTGAGATGTATATCAGTCAACCACCAAACGGAAGTCTTTCATAAATCCAAAAACCTTGATTTAGCGTGAAATTTTCACTTTAGTATCATTTGCTTTTATTCCGGGAAATGCTCTTGGAAAGTCAAACTACGGCGTCTAAAATGAGTAAGGCATTTTTGTTTGTATTATACCGCGCATAAACTTGGACATATTCTTCACACAATGGTGGTTCGGAGGGTTCAAATTGACCCGAAGGTATCAGGTGATGGGGTGAGTTGGAGCAGGCTGCTTCAGAACGTCCTACCCCTTCGCATTCAGTTGTGACTTGAGTGGCCCAAGGTTATATAGCCTTTTAAGGTGATGGCCTTTTCGTGAACAGAGAAAGACTTTTCCTTGTTGAGCGAAGGACGCAATATCACGTGAAAATTCTTGGCCGGGTTAAGGTTACCTTTCATCCCGCTTTAGTAGATTTACGAATGCCGTTGTCCGCCAGGTTCACAATCTCACATAAGATGAACGGAGTGGAATACAAAAAGTGCAAAGTGTTCTCAAGTGTTGGATTGCCATTCACCTTTTACAAAATCGTGCTCGACGTCATACTTACGACGACGTGTCGCTGGGTGAGTTTAGCAATGTGTGGGCATCAACAGCCAGAAATTCTGAAAACCGTCTAAATTGTGCATTTGGTTCACACCGGGCAAAATAGATATGAAAAAATTTATTATCATCTTCATCTAAGTGACCCTACTCCAGCAACTAGCTGGAAATCGACTCCAAACCATAAAGTTTGATCAGACTCACCCGGCAAAAAGAAAAACATTGCCTCCTGTAATTAAGCGGCCTTATTCAAACCCCCAGCCCCAGAATTGTGTTCCAGTGGATGTCTAACTCATAGACTCCGGTGGAACACGTTAGAAGAGAATGCAGTACAGGTGTTAGTTTACTAGTGGCTGCAAGACAGGTCCAAGGCACAATAATCGGAAGAGCAGTTCTCTAAAATTTAACGCAGGTTGCAATTGGCACCAGGTATACTGAAATATTGCCTTGCAAACATGCAACTTACCGGCGGCGCCGTTTCATCTGTCCGGTGCCCTGTTCAAGATCTTGTCGGCTGTCGTATTAAGTTGGTTCAACCTTTAGCGGGCGGTGTAGTCGAAGGTAGCAAAGATCGCCTACGGGAAAATCGTGTCTTCTTCAGCTCTTGAAAAATAGTTAGTGAACCCTTCAACTTTTGAACAGCCTCCCACTCCCGACCCGATTAAACGATTCCAGTTTTGTGCTCGTAGAAAAGCCATCAGGAAGAGTCGGTGCTTTGAAACAAAATCCTCCTATTATTTCAATAACAGTGACTCGGTTAATTTTTGAGTTCATTGGAGGTGATGCTGTGGTGAAACAGGATACAGTTATCGAGTTTCACTCAACGACTTGCACGTGTTTATGGTGGCTAGGGTTGTGGCTCCATTAAATTCCTTCCCCCGGTCATATTTAATTAAGTTGACAAACCGTTTTAAGTCACCCAAAAATAAAGATGCAATTATGCTTGGGGATAACATAGTGATTCCTAGCGTACTATATCCTTGAAAGGACGCTTTGCTCGCCCACCGTGTCCACTCACTTTGTACGCTTGGCCAAATTGTGAGAAAAATAAACGCTGTCTGCCCCATCATGTCTTTCAGGATCTCCCACAAATGTGTTGGCACAGGCTTGACTTGCGGTTGCCACCATCGTAAACAGAAGAACTGAAGCGTGCGTGGCTGTTTAGTTATTGCATGGGCTTCTGGAAAGAGTTAGCTGATTGCGGACGATCTGCCAGGTTGGTAAAACTTGGCCACTGTACACAACAACTGGTGTTGTTATCCGAAATGCTTCAGTCAAGAAATGCGTAACTCTTAAGTTCAAAATTTCGTTTTCCCCACAAGTTTTTCTTTTTCTTTTGGTAATAACTGTCTTACCCACAGTCACTTGGGTATCCTCGTCAATCCCCGCTTATCGCAATAATATGATGAACGTTGGTGATTCTGCCACGAAGATGCGCAAACTGAGGTAGCGAAACTTACGTCCGCTTCCGCGGGATAAGTAAACTCCCGGGCTCCCATGCTTTTGAGCCCTGGTATGGCTTTCATAGTATTCGCACCTTTTTCCTGAAGTATAGTTATAATGATGTACGGGAGTGTAAACTTCAAAGCTCTGTGATCCCGTATTAGGTGCAGCGACCACTTTAGGATGAGAAAACGCGAGGAACTTCAGGCGCACGAACCTGTCTGAAATAAGCGAAAGAGGATTGCTTAGGTCAATAGTAGTTTTCTGACCATGTTCAGCTAGCAGCAGACTGTAGCCTCCGTGCATTCCACACGCTGTCACTTATTTTTCTCACACGCTTCTTGCGGTGCATTCCCTAACACGGCCACGCAACACTATTACACTGCCGAACTACCGTTACGCCAGTACAACCGCACTTCAAATTGTCCCTAATACCTCCCTACAGAACTCAGCTTTTGGCAAAGTACGGACTTACTTGGTTCATTTAGCAAGACAGTTTCTCTAGCGGAACCAATTTTTCCCCATTACAACCACTTTGTTCCTGTTATAACCCTGTGAACGCATTAGAAGAACGAATGAATCATGCACAGAAAACGTTTCGAAGGTACAGTACACACCCTTATTTACTCCCGCATTAAAACAGCTGTCCGCAGTATAGATATGGAAGATGTTGCAGGTCACAGGGTGCTGCCAGATCCCGATTGATTGAATAAGCAATACGTTAGGAATGGCGCTCATTTTTTACCTTAAGAAAACATCGAAGTCATTGTCTTCACAGCCAAGCCATGCTTTAAAAACGGGTGGCGCTTTCACCCAAATGCATCCGCGCAAAGGGGCGCGCTTGACGCACTAGCAAAATGAAGGAGCAATGAACTCAGCAATTCCTTGCGTTTTTAGCACGAAGTGGGGTAATGAAGAACAAAGGATGCCAGTCAAAATACAAGCAAGACTAACTCACTTAAATGTCAGCAGTCATCGAAAGAATTTTGATGGAGTCTTTCCAGCCGCCCACAGTGGCGACGTGGTAGTTTTCACCGTGACCTGGTCCTGGCCACCTGATGCATGATTGCGAATGGTATACTTTCCTTGCGCTGCCTGTGTAGAATATATATGAGGCCTATGCTAAAGGTGTGACGTCCTTTTGCAGATGGTACAGGTGGCACCAGTTAGTGGCTCAGGAGACATCTAAATATCAGCCTCCGGCCTGAGTGCGGGTTCGAGTCTAAAAGCCATATGTTGCTGTATGGATTAAATAATGCGTCCGGAGGGCACTCCTCCGCAAGAAACGTGAGAAAAAGAAGAAAATCAAGAGGGAGAAACAACGGGGAATGACAGTGTAAGGAAGCGTGTCGATCCCACAGATGGTTTCAGTTTCAGACAGCGGCGCGCCATCTCGTGAAGCAACAATTATGATGGAAGCACAGGATGGCAAAATTGTACTGACTGCTTACGCTGTATGATTTGAATGATAAGTGTAGTTCTTCGAATGCTTTGAACACATTTTCGAATAAGCGAGGACTTCACCTGATTAACCAACAGCGCGGTCGCTGAAGACGCACTGCAGTTTGAGCAAGTGGAGCCTCAAGCTAGTGGCATTTTCTAACTAAAGACCAGGCACGCACTGAAAAGTATTGGAGGACTTGTAGTCCACTGCCCAAAAGAGCGCTTTTCAAAGTTTCCAGAGACAAACAAATGATCCGCAGTGAATTCTGCTCGTGCTAGAGGGGCCACAACACTACAATTTGTGGAACCAAAGATATTGCCGTAAAACGCTGAAGGATCACAGCAGGCAAACAAACGGCGCTAACAGGTAAAGCCTTACACAATTCGAAATAAAGTTGTGGAGATTCGTATTTTTCTTAGTCCTGGAAAGGGCCATCGCAGCTCGTTATATCAGGTAACGCCGTAGCCCACGGCTACAACTTTAGATCAAGAAAATTACCGGAGTATTTTGGGTTGGTTCTTCGCCAAGATGCGCATAAACTGATCTCTCTAAACTGAAGCACTGTGAAAGAGTTTGTGCAAATATGGAACATGGCTACCATTGAGACTTCGAACGATTTCTATGCATTTTCCTCAGAAATTGTACGAGTCAGGGGTACTGCACTCAAGATTTTTCAAAATATAGGTGATTACTGGGAATACCAGGATGTCGTCAAATGGAACTTCGAAAATGAAGCCTTACACTTGTGCAGGGAAATTGCGTTGTTTGACCCAGCTTCCCAGTGCGACAACACTCAGGGGGCATCGTTTGAGGGTTATCTACACTTGAATAAACCTTAGATTCTGGATGGCTGTTGTATCGTTAGTGTCCGCCCAATTTTTACGCATGAGTTGAGCATGCCGGTCCACGGCGTAAGGAAGGACAACTTCCGGCCACAACTGTGTTTTTATGGCTCACATAGATTTGCGTGAATATATAGGATAGCAAAGTGTCCGCATTTGGTCGCTCGCTCGCTCGTTCCATCCTGCCAGTGGCAACGTTCCTGCCATAAACGGTTTCACACCCACTGCATTCCAACCATTCGCCTGCTGCTCGGAACATTTAGGACGGACAGTGATCTTAGGGAAGCGTCCCATGCACATTTCTTAACCTGGCGCGACAAGTCTTCGTCGAAAATCAGTGTCTGTCCAATTTCGCACTGGACGGCATCTCCTTAATTCAGTGGCACCTAATTGCAGAAGTAAACTCGGAAGTCTTTTTGGCCCTTAAAAATGACAGACCCACTAGAAATCTGGAGGCAGTAAGACAAATGGTGCTGATATTGGTTCATCGAATACCTGTAAGATTGGAAGCATACATGACACACTGGATGGGAAGCGGACGTGCGCTACTTTGTTCAGGATCTTCCGCAACAAAAAGATTCCGGATCGCGATACTGCAGCAGGTCGGCCACCCTTTCTCACTTACCAATCACAGATAATGGGCTCCCTAGCCCTTTTTGAGCATTGCGAGTACTAGTCTGCCATCTACGTATGCAAACATTTAATTGGAAACTTCTCTATCGCTTCGAATCTGCGAATTCTAATATTAATAATAGCAATAAAAATAACGTTTATCCCCAACTAGTGGGTGCAATACCTTCAGGCATAATTATAATGTTACGGCCAGATTGAGGGCACGATTGGTAGGTTTCGTGGGTGCTAGGAATTTTGCGAAAACAGGACGGTGACATAAACAGTAGGCACTATCCGAAGTGGATTTGGTCACACCTGAGGCTACATGAGTATAGAAACGGCATGAATAGAGAGCCAAAATTACAACGGCTCTACTTTTCGCATGGGGACATCAGATGAGACAAGAGAAGATCGTTAAGGTTTGAAAGTGGCGGGTAAAAACAATATGAGGCTAGAGGCCTCCCGCCAGGAGTCTGATAAAAATCTTCAAACTATAGAAAATTTGGAATTAGAATAACTGATGTAATGAGGCGGCGATCTGACCGGCCAATTTGAGTTAATGTCTAAAGCCGTCACTGCGGCTTCGTGCACTTGGGCTGTTGGGTCACAAAAAAACGTTGTGATCCTGTTCATTCCAGTGGTTCCTGTCAGTGTGACAGTATGACTTGCCGCGTTTAACTCCACAGGTAAAATGAGGGGTTGCTTATTTAGGAGAGTCTGAGGTCACAGACGACCTAGTACGTGTTCGCTGCCGGAGTATTTGAGGTTCTGCACTGACTTATCTCCAAAACCGGGAAAGACTGGAATGAAATTGATTCTGTGGGCGTTATCTGGTAGCTCGTCATTCTAAAGCCGTCCAGTTGGTGGTCATACCGTTCATAATCTTAACCGGGCAGAGTCCGGGCTAGAATAAAGTCACAGGGTAAGCCAAGGTGTAAGTGTTAACATTCTTGCCATAAGACGCCTGTCCGATGCTAACCGTAAGGTATTTTGTTGCATTAGTTTAATTCTCATAGGTTTTCCGCTGCGATTGCGTTGCCAACAACTCTATAGCCTCTGCAATTGAAGTCATCGGAAGGTGAGACTCTTAGCATACTGAGCGAACGGTGTCTTCGAGGGAGGCGTAATACCAGGACCTCCGGATAGGCAAAACAAATATGGAGCTGGGTTTCTATACGGTACTATTAGGGTAAAACAAATCCACAAATTATACAAACCTCGACAGTGGATACGCGTCCAAAACAGACGGTCCACTTGAACTACAAAATTACAAGCCAAGCGAGCAAACAGGCTCCCACGTGCGACAGTCACACGTGCAAAGTTGTCTACAAATGGCTGGATGACCTCAAGGCCAAATGGGTGAAGTGGTAAGGGCCAACAAACGTCAGTTCATATATACACGCTGAACACAAAACAGGAGCGGTGGTTACAGACGGAGACAGAATAAACGTGGGAAATTTCATTTTCAATGTGATAGGTGATACAGTTAGTTTGACAACCCGCAAAGTGCCAGGAAAACGGCTTGTTCCTTGCGTCTTGTCTGACCAGACGACCCGGTCCAACAAAATCCGTTTTCATTAAACTTAACATGCACGTTTACTCAGATGCTCGTGCTACTAGTCATACAGTCACCAATATGCGGGAATAATAGTCTTTTAGATACAATCATGTGATCAAAATACGGAAGGTGCTAGTACAGTGACCCTGAATACCACAAGCATTCCCAGATTGTTACCATTTGTTACCACCATTAAGTAGGTGACAATGGTGGGCGTTTTTTAACCAATGCTGGTAGATGGGCTTGCTATGGATCGTAACTCAGTTGAATTCTAATGATTTCAGGGCCGTAGGCGTGTATCCATCCGACGATCACAAAGTTGTTGCACTGGAAGTCTGCTTGATCAAGGGTGCATCAGAAGTATGGTAGTGAGCCTATTATGGCGGGACAATTTAGAAATGAAAACATTTGACGACAGCCGTTCAAATCAGATAATAAAAGGAGATTTGCCGAAATGCCTTGTAGCTGGCATCACCTGTGCACGTAATAGATCATACCCTCTGGCGCGGGAAACTGGAAAAGGAAAGGAGAAACCGAAGTATAACAAAGCATGCGGATCATAAAGTGAACAGAATTTCAAAGTTAGTGAAGATCGGAGCCGGACCTTTATCACTGACCATATCAACAGTACATAGCATCTACGCG